AGGATACAGAGGAAGGTCAGCATGATCAGGAGGCTGAAGATGATGGGCTGACCATACTGAAGCCCATAAATATATCTGGAAAATCCAAGACAATGACCTTGACGGACACTTGCCTCCTTTTCTAGGAGAGTTGAAATATATAATATAATATATAGAAAAAAAAAATAGAATGTTTTTCCATTTTAAAATCTATTTAGCTTTTGAAGTAGAGAAAAACAATCTTTCAGTTTGGTATATTGACAATTTCCTTACTCACTTTTTTTTATAAAACACCTAAACTGACTTTTTTTTTTTTGGCTTAATGAGAGCAGTGGGCTTTATGCTGCCCTGCAAGGCTTTAAACCTGGGTTTGAATGGAGACAAAGCCATTCTCAAGCACATATCAAGGTGCTCATTCATGAGCCTGGACCGATATTTATTTTTGATTCTGTTCATGGTGGTGAAACCTGCTTCACAGCAGTAGGTTGAGCTAAACATACTCAAAATGTTCAGGGTCATCTTTGAGCATGCCATTTCACTTTTCTTTGACCAGTTCACAGCAGTTCTTCCAGCAGTCCACACTTTCTCTGCTCTCTTTTTCTCATCGTCTTCTCCTTTCCCATCGTGCGTCTTGACACGGGTTTGCCTGCTGTGTCTAAATAGCTAGAAGTAGAAACCCAGACTGACACAGCTTAGTGGGTAATTTGTGTCAAGTGCAGCTTGGTGCCGAATACTACAAATGGCTTTACAAACAGGAGAAGCAGCGCAAGTGACGTTAAGACACTGTCGTCAAGTATAGGGGCCCGGATCCTGACCCTGGTCCACTAATCCGTGACCACTAATCGTAGAGTAGAGGATTGCAGTTGTCTTAACTGGGCTTCTTGCTTAATTGACCTCTGTATTCACCCTCACATTAATCTTTCTATCCGTTATATCTGCACTTGTTACATTTTATATATTAATACTAGGGGTGTAAATCACATCCATCATGGCGATTCGATTCAGTATCGATTTCCTGACCCAACGATTCGATTATTTTCGATACTCAAGAATACACCACGATTCGATTCGATTCGATTAATCGATTAATCGGTTAATCGAATCGAATCGAATCGTGGTGTAT